TTGTTGTTTTAATTAATTTAATGGGACGGTTATGGAATAACCGTCCCATTAAATAAAATAAATATAATAATATAAATGATGCAAATGAATGTTCTAATTGAACAGGTTAGATTTTAAATCTCAAAGTACCGAAATTCTCTAAGCTTAGGTTGTGAACTTTTGACTTCAGTTTCATTGTTTTTTATAGAAACTACTGATCGGATGAAAAAAAATGCTGTTTGAAAGACAATTTAATATGCTTTAATGAGAGTTTAAATTGATTAAAATTTATTTATGCTTTTTGGGTTTAGCATAGTTAAATAACTGCACGAGTCAAATTAACTTTTTTTATTACTAAAAACAAATAGGGTTATTGATAACTAGCAACTCAACGCTTATTTTTTAATAATGGGTATGACCCTCTCTTGCCCTAATAACATCTCTTACTCAATTAAGCATAGATCTAATCAAGTTCGCTATTGTTTCTTGTGGAATGTTAAACCACTCTTCCGCTACTGAAAAAATAAGCTCTGGGATCGAGGTTGGGGTACGAAGTCTAGTTCGAATTCTCCGCTTTAGCTCATCCCGCAAATGTTCGATCGGATTGAGGTCGGGACTGCATGCTGGCCATAGAAATTGCGTCCCATATCATGCAGGAACCACCTCCATAAGGGCTCCGCTCTTCATTGCAGCATTCTGCAAATCGCTCCCCTGGTCTTCGGTACACTACCAACTACCAAAAAGGCATATTCTGGTCTCATCTGAGAACAGAACAGACCTCCATTGGTCCAATGTCCAATTCAGATGATCCCGTGCAAAGCGTAGGCGTGCTTGTGGAGGAGCTGGAGTAAGTTTTGGATCAATTGCAGTTGTCTTTGGGGTCAGGTTATTATCCTTCAGTATTCTTCTCACTGTCCACTGACTAATAGCCACTCTTCGAACTTCATGGAGCTGTTGTTGCACTTGAACCGCATGAAGGGGACGATTTCTTATTATTGTTAACACAATAAAGCGATCATCACGAACCGTTGTAATTCGCCTTCTGCCTGTTCTAGGCCGCCTAGCAAAAGACCCTGTCTCCTCATACCGTTGGCGTACCATCTGAACTGCTGTGCGTGCCATATCCAGTTGTCGAGCAACAGCTCGCTGACGAAGTTCACTTTAGATTAAAGCGTTAACTTGATCGGTTTTTGGTTTGTAGTATCATCAAGCCAACACAATTAAATGTGTTTCAAATGGTAAAAAACGAATAATGTGAAAATTCCAGTTGCAAAGGCGAATAATTTAAGTCTATAAGGAGTTTGTTACTATCCCTATAACTACTACTGTATGAACACGTTTCATTTCTTTAACCGTAGCTACGCTATAAAAGATCAACACTCTTGAGAAATTTAAACTCATACAAAAGCATATTAAATGGTCTTCCAAATAGCATGTTTATTTTTTTAGTCAGCTGAATAGTTACTAGAAAAAGAAATGCTAAAATAAAAAATTTACCTTTACATTACATTTTCTATGCGCGCAAGATTAGTTACAATAAAAATAAAAACTGCAAAAATCGTTACAAGAACGCCGACACATTTAGAAATATCTGTTTAGTATTAAATACACACCCAACAAATGATGTTGAAAGGAAAATAAGAAATATAAACAGTACGTATACGCAAGAAGTGGGGAAATGTTTGCGAAAAGAAAAAGATATAACTGGCGCTTACAACAAGTCTTTATTTTTAAAATCTTCTTTATTTCTGACCAGAACGTCACATGGTTAGATAACTGAATTTTATTCCATCTTTTCCTTGTGGTCTGAACAGTTTGTGTCAAAAACGAAGATTTCCAAACCATGATATTTTGCTTCATATATATAAGACAAACAAACTATATTTACTAAGTGCTAATGATTTTATCAAATTTAAATCGTTTTAAACTTTATTGTAGTGATTCCGAGCTTTTATTATTATTTCACTCATTCTTGATCTAAGGTGCCCTTAATATGGACTTATTTAGATTCTTGAAAAAATTATAAATTAATTTTTACGCATTTAATTTATTTAATTCATCTATCCTTGAGTTTATTTTTCACAATTTCGAAAGAGCTCTAGCAAATAAATTCCTAATAACACCTGTGTCAGCCAGGTGAACTCAGAAATAAAAACTTGTTGCATGACGAAATATTACACCAAAACAGAAATATGTTGTTAAATTTTCCACCATTAATTAAATTAAATCTTTAAGGCTACCCCAGCCAATTATTTTCAGTTTGGAAATCACCCATAAATTCGAGTCCCAAAATGAAGCAAATGGTCGCAGTTGGCGTTTTAAGGGAATCGTTTTTTTTTCTGCCGGGTTAACAAAACATTTTTAATTGATCCGGGATATGTCTAACGAAAGGTTTTATATTTTTTTATAAGATACGGAGGTTTGCGTTGAAAGCACCCCTCACTGGAATATTTTATTTTTCTTAAGTGCTAGAAAAGATAAGATAGATTAGCCTCCGAGGGGTCCGTGACATTTCCAAGCTGGGGGACGAATTTGAATTATGACCGAGGCACCTATGAAACCCGCGCACCATAGAGCAGTAAATCTGATGCCGTGTCCGGTGTACGAAAATAGGTACGAAATAATATTTTTTCTGGATATATGTGGATGTGGAAGAACACCAACACACCAACATTAAACAACATATAGTGCTAATCTACATTTGGTTTAGTGAAAGTGGACACTAAATTGTAATTGTGATTTTTATACTTTAAGATCCACCCTGGCAACGTATTTATTTTCTCATCGATTTTGACAATATTCGACGAGTACGGTAATATTTATTTTTGGCAGCAATTGTGGGTCGAATTTTAAAAAGTACTAAAAGGATTTTTTTATAAAAAAGGTTATTAGGGATTCTTACCAAAGATAACATAAAACATATCCATTTCGATTTTCATTATTCCAAATTACTATTTAGACAAAAAAAGTTGAAACGTCAACCAATCGAACAATTTTTACCTTCTTTGCAACTCGTAATAATTTAATTGTATTGTTTTTCTCTAAAAGTAAATGAAGTGTACAATGCTGTGAATTATTATTAATTACTATAACTAAAATAAATGAGTAAGTTAAAACAGAATGTCTAAATTTAAATTTTAACTAGGTATTGTCGGATAGTTTTGGTTAGTAAATCACAATAACGATATTAGATTTTTTTTTACAAAAAGTATATTACCTGGCCAAAAATTTAATAACTAAATAAATTTAACTAGCTCTAAGTAGGGTTTTTTCGAATTTTGAGCCTATAATGAACACGCTGTATCCTCAGAACCCGGAAATGTTGATTAGATGAGCTTCTCAGGTATTCCCTCGGGGGAGGGGCGATTCCTTGAGTGATTTCAAGACAAAAATAGCATATAACATAATCCACATAATGTATTGTTTTCAAAATAAAATAAGATAGAAAAATATCAGGCACTGACGTTTTCCGTTAATAAGCTAAACAATGTGTCTTGTTTTTTTGGTGTCTCTTTTCGTGTTTGAGAGAAAAATCAAAACCAGACAGCAAATTTTGCCTTTAAACTTATAATAAAATCATTTTTCAACTTAGCTATTAAAAACAATTCCTTTTATGCAATTTTTAGTTTAAAAAAAATGAACTTGAAATATTTTGAACGAAACAAAAGATTTTAAACTAACCAAAACTATACCATGATCTGGTGTATATATAGCAACTTTAACTGTTCTCTCTAACTGCTCTATTTGTTCACTACTGAAGATATAGTAATTCAGAAGTAAAAAAAAACAGGGTTTGGTTAATAGAAATCTTAAAATAGAATTCCCACTCTTCCGAAAAACAAACAAAAATTGTAGAAACACTCAAAATCGAATTTTCGTCATGAAAAAATCAAAAACCAAATAAGATTTATTATGGTGTAATCCATAGGCATCAATTTAAAGATATTGAATAAATTGTCCATATTCGTAAAAAAAATTCTTTTTATTACACGTTTCGAAAAGTGTAACAGCAATTAACAAAAAAGACAATAAACCTTATTTTTGATTTTTGATGCTTTCAAAAAATATCTCCAAAAAATTAATATAAAATAAATTAATAATAATAAATAAATAAATAGGAATAAATAACAAAAAAAGAGGAAAATGACTAAAATAAAAAGACTAAGAGTTACATGTAAGATTTGCTTGTTTTCAATATCAAATTTAAAGTAAAATGTGTTTTTAAAATTTTTATATTATGTAGGTTAGACTTTTCATTTGATATAAATTATGTAGCAATTCCTGTAAACATTTGTTAACGTCACTTTCTGCAATATGCGGCAGGGTGAATTATATTATATGAAATGTGATCCCGCACAACTTAAGGGTTTGAATGAGAATTGTCATTTGTTTATTATGTGGATATATAAATTATGGTGTATTATTTTTAATTTAAATTTGTCGTTGGCTGCAGAATAAGCATATTATTATTATTATTAATCTAAGATTTGTAACATATTCGCAATTTAAAGCTAGAATAGTACTAGAAGTAAAGAAAGTTTTAGTCAAAATAAATGTAGAAATAGAGAAAAGACAATTTTATGAAACAATTACGTTCTTGATTATTGTGGACCATTTGTTCATTTTCATATTTCCAAATTTTTGGGATATTTCGATCAGTGATAAGAATGTTATTCAAGTTCACCCGCGATCAAACTCAAATATTCAAAGGTCCAACAAAGAGTGCATATTTCTTCTAAACGAGAATGTAAATTTAGAAACCAAATATTACGGAGGCCCGAACATCAATGGTTTAAAAAGAGACAACGACAAACACAAAAGGATCTTATGGGAAGAGCCAAAATATGCAAATAAAGACGGAGACACGAAAAGGGTACCACCCGTGCTCAACGGAGACAGAAATAGATAGTCGGAGCGGTAGGGAACATCCTTATATCTTATTGGCAGTGATCACGTCCAAAGTTATCTTAAGTTTTACTGGGAACGCCGAAATGTACATCAGTAGTCTGTTCCATATTAAAGGTGCCGCATCCCTTTGGTAGATTTCGGCGCCGAGTGAAATACAGTGGACATGTTTGAATCGGGCAGTGAACCGTTATCGCCTACGTCTTCGTCGGATTACGAGCAGTACACGGCCTCATCAAAGTTGATGGATTTGACGAACGCGGGTGATAAATATTTGCAAACGATCGGATCTCAAGCCGGCGATCATCAACAAAGCGCTTTTAGTGTTTATTATGGACACCCGGTAGCAGCTAATCATTCCGAAATGAGGTATTACGATGAGTTTACCGACAAGACGTACCTATGCGAGAAGAAAATACACAACCCGATTTACATGGACAACAGGTATCCCCCATACGACGAGCCCTATATCAAAGTCGAACCGGACGAGGAGCAAACGACCCCCAAAGGCAGAGCGTTGGGCAGAAAACGCAAAAGCGTAGATTCCGACGACGAAAACTCCTTTAACGGCAAATCAAAATCGAGGAGGAAATCTCCTCAAAGCTACGAGGATATCCAGAACCAGAGGATAATGGCCAACGTGAGAGAGAGACAAAGGACGCAGAGCTTGAACGAGGCGTTCGCGAGCTTGAGGAAAAGCATTCCAACTTTGCCGTCGGACAAACTATCGAAAATCCAAACTCTGAAATTGGCGGCCAGGTACATCGACTTCCTCTACCACGTTCTATCCACGTCGACACCGGAAAATCCGGGGGAAAGTGACGTCTTGGGGAACGTGTGTTCCTATACAGCCCACGAGAAATTGTCGAGGGCTTTCAGTATGTGGAGAATGGAAGGCGACTGGAACACGCAGTTATGAAAATCGGTGCTGGTGGTGTATAGATTTGCTTAGTCGTGTACGATGTTTCTTTTTGCTGGACAGGTGCAATTTTTCGTGTAAGATATTCCTTCGAGATTATTGTTTAGTATTCGGCGGCCGGGTCATCTTTCTTCTTCGGTTCAATTTGAAATTAGTAATAAATAAATATAAAAACGAAATCGATTGATTTTGAATGCAATTGGTGCTTTATGGACCATTCAATCCGTTATGAAGTTCAATCACCAACAGAATTAAAGCTCAAATCGTTGTTCAGATTGGCGCATCATCTCGGGACATAATTTCTTTATTAAAATGAATATTTTTTTATTAAATTTTACAAGGAACGATTGAATCGAAGTTAAAATTCTCAACCACTTTTTAATATTTTAAGTTTTTATGGCGAGAGAAATGACGGGGTTTAGTAAATTATATTGTTTAACCATTTAGCTTAGTAGGAGGCATTTTTCTTGCCTCGCCCATTTGTGATCTAGATGTATAATACTAACCATTTCGTATAATACCATAAAAAGTGTTAATATGATATGTTGAGAACCGTCGCCCGCAGCTGTTGGGATTTTTTTAAACTTATATTCTTAAGTTAATGACGCATTTTTTGCTCTTCGGGAGCATCTCCAGTTTCACGGTTTTATATTCCAATTAGTTACCAAATGTCTTAGGTTTAGGTTCGCAGTGCATAAGTGAATCTCTAGTTAGGTGTACATACATACCGCATTTTATTCCGCAACGTATTATTGTCGACTATTAAATATTGTATTTATTTTTGTTGAATTAAATATTTTTTTATGAAATACTAATCTTTTTTCGCACCTTTTTAACTCCATATCGGTTAAAGTACTCAAAACCGTATTTAAAACTTAGTGTGGATTTCTAAAAGCAACATTTTCATGCAATCAGTTTGCTATTATTCAATATTAACAATTTTTCGAAAAATGCATTTTAAAAAATTGCATCAAAATATGACCTGTTATCATCCCGGGAATAATAATGATATTAAATTTCTTATACAAAATGTTTTCCATGCAACCGGTTCATTAAGACATTCACATACATAACTAAGAAGAGAGAACTTAACTAACTTAATATAAATAGCATATATATAGTAATTTAAAAAAAATAAAAACGGACTGCCCTGGGAAATCAATCAACTGCATTTGCATTTTGAAGCTTTTTTTACTAAACACATAAGGAGAAGACTGCAGCATTATGGCAAAAAGATATCTCAAAAATTTTGATCTCATATCGTCTAAGCAGAGTAGAGAATTAAATATTTAGACTTGTTCGTTTTCTTAACTTTCAATTTTATACTAAATATCCCATTTGAGCCACGTTGAAAAGGATCAAGAATTATAGAATTTACCACTGATATTGTATTGATTGAAATGAAAATAGTGCGGTAAACGGCATTTGATTCATAAGTTTATTTGACACGAGCGGAGCGCAGCGGAGCGAGTTTTTAATAAACGAGTGAGTTAAAAAGTTTAAAGAACTACTACAGTTTTTCTAGTTTTTGGGTCCATTTTCGCAAAACAACAGGAATACATTCACTGACCGTCAGAATTGACAAACGTCAAAATTCAAAGGGTGGGAAAACATCGGTGTGGTAAAATCCCGGAAATGTCCGAAGTGGCTCGGATTCATGGGAAACGAAATTGACGTGGTAAAGTGACGCTTCCCGCACGCTAGATCGGTGGGTGATTAGGTTTTTTACAGACGGGAGTAGAAAAAAACATTTTCCAGGTGGTCCGAAAAATTATGGCTAACCAAGATCCAAAATTTTTGAAAATAAAACACCCTCCATATCCATAGAGTTTTAAAAATTTCATGAAGAGACCTTTTTAATATAGTATTACATACAGTTTTTGATTAATTTTTTTATTTTACAAATATCACGTCACCCTTGTTCGGCTTTCCAGAGTCAACTATAAAGTATTTTAAAAAAATAAATGTCGTGCATAGACATACGTACATACCCATTTATGAGATGATAGATTTTGTAAAAGGTAATAAATGATTATAAAAAAATGTTATTAAACATACATGAATGCAGATATGAACAACTAACATTTTACATTTAAACTTTATATTTTTAGGCATAGCTTTTCATGCACTTTTAATAAATCCCTAAATATACATTTCTGTACACTATTTTATATAGTGTTATTATAATTATGCAAAATATTCTGTCAAAATTATCATCTCTGCAGCTTAAAATATAAAATAATTGCTGTGATAGTCAATATCTAATAACTAACAATACAGCCATTATTTTCTAAAGCATATCGTGTTCTTAAAAATTTGGTTAAGTACTGTTTTAATGATAAAACTACAGTTATGTAAAATATATAGCTAGAATTGTAATAGTGATTAATTCAGTCAACTACAAATTCCACGGAGTACCACAAATTTTATGATTGTTTAGTTTTTGTTAGGGATGAATGTATAACAAAATCATCAGAAATTATTTTAAAAATTATCTCATGATTGGATGTTTTAAATTTAAATATGCTCAGTATAATTGAATGTTATACCAAATTAAACAGCTTAAATTTTGTATACAAGGGTTCTGAAAGTTTACAAAAGATATTAAAGATTTTCGCTAGTTTTTTCAATTCTTCGGCGCCCAATTTAAAAGCTTAACAAAGCTGTAAAGTTACACAGAAAAAAAACGGATACAGTTGGCTGCACTAAGGAAATTTCGCGGTAGATTGAGTGCGTTGTATGGAGATCTGTTTGAAGTTGGTCGGGACAGAATAATAGGACTCTGTGTTCTTGCTCGTAAAGTTGGCAGTGACGAGAGCGATATAAATCGACCCACTGACTTTTAAGTGTTCTGGAAACTTTATAACTAATAGTAGTTTATTGGCCACGCCGACGTATAAAATAATTCTACTTCGTGTAAAAAAATGGCTAATTTGGGGAGAAAATCGTTGAATGTATTAAATTGTCAAGGAAACGTTAACAAATTGTCCTAGATAACACTCGGTTTTTCCGTGTTACGCCCCTGACGAAGGTTCTTTAAGATCTTTGCGTTGGCATAGCATACAATACATCAGGCACAAAACGCTTTAAACCGAATGGCCGTTAAGGGCTGTCGATGCCACCCTCAAAGGATGCCTGTGCTCGCCTGTAAATGTCATTATTCTCGACTTTAAAAACAAAATTAATTTGGCAGAGGGGCATCATTTTGAACCAGACCTCTAGCAATTTTCAGGTTCCTTACTGCGTTTAGGATGTAAAAATGACAGAGAAAATACCAGATGTTGATAATTACCCAAAGTCTGAAATGTTCAATCGTTGTTATTACAACCAAGATAAATATATATTGAAATTGAGTTATTTTTAGTTGAATTAAATCCATTTTGTAACTCAAACGAGAACTGCATCAGCATTTGTCAAAATTTTAATAACCAACCAATACACTGAAGTACTAAACCGAATATGAATTTATTTTTGAGTAAAAAACAAAATATTTACAACCTTGATATATATATATATATATATATATATATATATATATATATATATATATATATATATATCATATTTTTTAAATTGAAGGAATTAATTTTTATATGATATTTGGAAAATATGTATTTTTCAATCACTAATTCTGTTTTTACATCGCTTTTTCTCTAACTTTTTTTTGGCGCCTTAAACACAAAATATTTAAAAAGATTGAAAGAAACATGTGTTGCAATTGCTCTTGTTATTTTACATTTGTATTTGTAGTAGGCAATAAGTTCGAAACTGAAGTTTTGAACAAAAGCATTTGTTTATTTCTAATCACTCCTTTAATTCAAAAAATAATGTACGTAAATTACTTAAATTATTAAAAATATCGCAAAACAAAAAAAAGTAATAAACGTTAACCAATTAGGTTGATTTAATTGATTGTTTGCGTAAATTAAAATTATATTATTATTGAACTAGACAAAAAATTAAACAAAATTATAATCGCACATGCTAAACTGCAAGGTTCATATATTTTTGGGCACGGATTGTTTTCTAAAAAAATGGTGCCGGTCATTTTCGGTATGTCGGCACAATGGCGGCTCACCTGTATTATGGAAATACCTGTTCCAATCAAATGCCGCAACGCTTATATGCGTTAAGACATGGCTGACTTTTTGTCCTATAGAGTTCGATTCTTGTAAAGCTCGAACAGGTATATTTACCCCATAGGGTTTGACCGCCATAAATGGGTACTGGTTCGCACAATATGTCGAGTGGATGTACCGGTCCCGTAAATGGGCTGTCATGCTATAGCGAATACCAAGCTGAATAGGGGTAGTTAAAAAAGTATTGTACCGGGTCCGATCAATTTCCTAACATAGCCCATACAAAAATGGATTAATTTTAAGACGAATAGTTAATAAAAAAAAACAAAGTAATTCGATTAATACATGCCACCAATGATGCGTATAGAATTTTTTATATTTATATTTTGATCTATTTAAACTGATAATTTATTATAACATACAAATATAAATATATTTTCGAATGGGACCAAATTGACAAAGTGACTATACATTCTAATATCATCCTGTTAACGCACTTCAAGGCATTATCGTTCTCTCCCCAAAACAAGGCATCTATCTATTCTTGAGTGATGTTGAACCCAAAGGATACATCAACAAATTTTAGAGCATCACATTTTTTGGTCCTATTTAAGATATCTTTGAGCTTCTTCATAATTAAAATCACTTATAGATATCATATAATCGACAAGCCCTAAAGTAAAGTTAATAAAAAAGTCGTCATAACCTTTTCCACTTGTGAGCTTTTCTCAGAAATTTCCGCTTTTCTCTTCCTTTTTTGGTACGAATTAATCGTAATAATTATGAATTTCTTCTTTCAGTTATTATTAATTTGCAAATATTTTTTTGTTACCTCACACTTAATTGCTTAAGCGTGAAGTGACAAATACGCTTTAGCAGTTCCTCATTATTATATTATATTTAATTATTTATTATTATTATTTGTAGAACAACAAAAAAGTTGAAGTTGACGGAATGTGAATAAAAAAGGAAAATGTGCGTAGAAAATTCAAATTAAAATTAAAAATGAAAATACACTTTTTAAAGCAGAGAAGAGGAAAATTTTTTATTTTTTATTTCTTGTGAAATGATGAGAATAGTGGTCACAAAAACGAATTTGTTTTACTATTTTACTAAAGTTTGAAAGAATAATTTCTTGGAAAACTTTAGGAACCTAAACGAAAAATCCTTTGATTTTTCTTAGCGTACTTTGCAACTAATTGCTCTTTTTGACTGTCAGAACAGTAGTGTCATAACTAAAAAAATTAGCCTCTTGTTACCTAAGTTTTGGTTTTATTTTATTTTTTTTAATTAATGGTTTAATTTTGTACAAAAAGGAAAAAAACCCGAAAGCAACTTGGCCCCACTTCACGCCTTGATGAACTACGTCACTGTTGTAAAAGGGTTTACAGATACGTAAACGACTACACCACCATTCACGACACCGTCTACGAATTTGATTATGTTAACATTAGAACTTTAATAACAGAAAACAGACCCCCCCTATAAAGATTACCAGAAATATAAATAATTCTTTAATAAAATATGCTTTATGGTTCGCATCATCATCTTGTCGTATAAAAATTCTAAACAACTTTTCTTAGTAAATTTAAAAACGTTTATTAAAGGTTATTGGTCTAATTAACAGACACTTAAGTGTGTCTAAATGGGTTATTACGCAAAATTGAATCTTA